CACAGCAACCTCCAGCTGTTGGGCTTAAGTGATTCTCTTGCCTCAGCCTCCTGAGTAGCTGGGACTACAGGCACCCGCCACAATGCCTGGCTATTTTTTGTTGCCAGGGTCAGGTTCAAACCTGCCACCCTCGGTACATGGGGCCGGTGCCCTACTCACAGAGCCACAGGCACCACCCAGAATTGACACTCTTTAATATTGAGTCTCCTAATCTATGAAGATGGTATATCCTTCATTTATTTATGTCATCTCTAATTTTTCTTTATAGAAGTTTTAAACTTCTCTTTCATTAGATTTATTCCTAAGTATCTGTTTTTAATGCTACAGTAAAGAGTGTTTTTAAAATTTGGTTGTCTATTGCTGGTGTGTAGAAATTCAGCTGATTTTGTAGTCAGAAAGTTTGCTAAATGTTGAGTATTTCTTTAGGATTTTTGTACATAACAATCATGTTTTCTTTAGTAATGACAATGTTTTCCTTTTCTTTTCATACTTACACTATTTTGTTCATTTATTCCTTATTGCATTTGGCTAGGACTTTCAGTACAACATTGAATAGAAACACATTAATTTCAGCAATAGTAACAGCAGACATCTTTGTCTTTGTTACACCTGTAATGTGTGCTTACCTATAGTCTGTGAACCAGAGCTACAACACTATTTTCTGGTAATTGTTAAATCAAGTTGTCCTCATCCCTGGGTAAACCTTACAATCATCTCTGGCATTTCTTTTTTTTTTTTTCTTTGAGACAGAGTCTCAGTCTCTCTCCCTGGGTAGAGTGCTGTGGCATCATCATATCTAACAGCAACCTCAAATTCTTGGGCTCAAGCATCCTCCTGCTCAGCCTCCCACACCTAGCTGGGACTACAGGCATCTACCACGGTGATGGATGGCTAGTTTTTCTGTTTTTAGTACAGATGGGGTCTCTTGCTCAGGCTGGTCTCAAACTTGTAAGTTCTAGCTTGGCTTCCTAGAGTGCTAGGATGACAGGTGCAAGGCATTGCAGCCAGCTGCATAGCCATGCCCATCACTAGGTCTTATTATCAGGGTAGAGCTTGTATTTAACAAATGCATAGAAATCCTACTAGGGCTTGTTTTTGGGGTAGGTCTTATTTTCTGGGAAACACGGTAGGTGATGCAACTGTTAGAAATCACTAGATGCTCTAGATGAAATCACTAGAAGCTCTTCAAGTAGGACAGAAAGGATTTAAGGTGATAGTTTAGTATCTTTGCAAATTTTGTTGCTTTTGAAGAAAGC